TCATTTTTAATGCTACTAACACTTAGATGTTTGCACATGCATCTCTAATCTCTACATATCTGATTATGACTAGTCACAAATGGTTGCTTTTTGAGATCCTTGCCACCTGAGCATGGATATAAAGTCATCAGGTAGATTTCAGTGGTAATGTTTTTCACATCTGCTAATTAAGTTGAAGCAAATTTTTATGCTTCTTCCTCAAATATAACTAATTTTTTATTTCTTGATTTTTTTGTGTATTTCATACAGAACATCCCAAATAATATCATTATCTATATACTCACATCCCAAGTGACACCCTCCCATGCCCCTGCTGCCGCTGGAGCCCGATACTCTGTCATCCCTGTTACTGTCCACTATGTTATCAACGCCTCCAGCCAATCTGCAGTGCTTATCTGTCCGCTGAGTCTAGTCAGCCTACCTAGAGTTCCTTGTTTTAGGAAGATCAGCTGTTCCTCAGCTAGCAGCAAACTGTTGCCAATATTCCTTTAGATAAGATTGGGATCTGCTGTTCATTTTCCCAGTTCTATGCTGGGTTACTGTCTGGGAGTCTTTTGGGCCACCCTGGCCAACAGCTCAAAGGAAGGTATCTCCTGTCTGGCATTGTTTTTTGTTATGTATTCTTTAGGTATACACATGGACTCTTAAAGAATTATATTGATCCTTTAATCTTTGGTTATACTTTCCTTTTGGGTGTGTAAGACCATGTTGTTGGCCCAGATAAACCAATTTATTTTTACTCTTAAGGTCGTTTGACGATCTGCTCCTCAGGGTTCACATGGGCTTAGGAGGAGCCCCTGGCTCCTTTCCTTTACCAGTTCCATCTATGTGAAGATAAGTCAAATGTCCTGCTCGACCTTGGATGGTTTCACTTGGTTTGCATTATAATCTAAATAAAATTATAGGTAATATTTGTAGTAAAATAGGGCATTAAATGATTATGCTTCTCTAACATAAAGAAGCTCAGAATTTTGATGCTAGATTTTGCGTTATTGTAGCCATGACAGTACTTTTGGAAAGAAGTGTGCGTGTGTGTTGCTTGGGATTAAACTCAGAGCCTTGCTCTTGACACTATGTGTTCTGCCACTGAGCTCCATCCCTGCCCTAACAACTTGGAACATTTAGTATTCTTCTGTTATGTTAGCAGAAAATGTCAATAAGAATCACCTTTTTATTCATGTAGCAATTTATCGTTTTGTCTCTCCAAAAATAAAAAAATAAATAAAATGAAATAAATTCTGAAGAATTTTCTTAATTAAACTGACACTCTTGGAGCAATGGAAGTTTTGTAAAACAGACCAGCAGGCTTCCTCTCAGGATGGCCCAACCAGGAGAGCTTTGAAGCCCAAGTTCAAGCACTGTATAACATAAAGCATTTTTCTAATAACCTTTTTTTTTCTCACAAAGAGATTCTGCTAATTAGAATGCATTCATTGTACAGTGAGTACAAGAAAGTTTTCAGACAATGAGGAATTCCTGGAAGACATCCCACAATGCCAAGGAAAGCATTTTGAGTTGTGTCTGTCACACAGTAAATATTGCAACCATAATGGTTAATGCCTGTAAAATATTTTTTGAAGGTCTGGAGATGTGGCTCACTGGTAGGACCCTTGCCGAGTGTAGGGGACTGTGTTTTTCATGTGTAGCATCACAAAACTAAATGAATATAAAAATTCTCTCACAGGTAAGAATTCTTTGTTCCTGAAGCCCAGATTTAAACTTCTTTGAATTGTAGATATTCTTCATAGCACTTGATTTCCTCCTACGGGAAACCACGAGTTTGAGTATCTTAATTTATGACCTTTCAGTGGATGGTAAATTGTATCTGTAGCCAAGTTGGTGTCTGTTATCCTCCCGCCCCCCACTGAGAACTATGCACTGAGAAAGTCATTTAGTGATCAGACTCCGGTGGTGGTGAAAACTCCATTACCCTTCCTGCGCTGGCAACCTTTTAACTTGATTCCTTTTCCTCCACTTTCACTTTTTCTGGCCATATCCCCATTTTCAATTCGTCTACATAAGCTATTTCTTATAAGTACTTAAATATGCTTATGGTAATTTAAAAATACATGAGGCCTAAGCTTTGTAAATTTCTTGCAGTTAAGACCAAGTTTCGATTTTCTCTTCTACCCACTGCAGTGCTGGGGAGTGTGGTATATATGTGGCAATAGATTTGATCTTGCATTATGACTAATTTTTATATTGGGAAGTGGATCTTATGATTGGTTCTCTGTTAAGCCCTGTGGGGAAGGTAAACGTGTGTAACAGGAGATTTTTACCCAAACATTTCTAAAGGATGCCATAAATTAGACCTGACCACAAATGGCCAGCTGCTGCATTTAGAGCAAGGTGACTAGTATAAAAAATTTAGTGCTGAACGTTTCCACATGACAAATGCAGCCAGAGTTTAAAGGTTCTGAGTTAACCAAAAAATAAATGGAATTGTTAAATCTGAGTGCCAGATGGGAATGATGTCTGAGTTATTTGTATCGCTTTTGTCTTTATGTAAAACATAAAACAGGCTGGGCTGGCTGCTGACCAGAACCTGCAGATGTGCAGAGGAGATTTCTTAGCACAAGCACCAGGAAACAGAGACTGATGATAAGCTTAAAGTTTTTATGGTTTTACATCTGAAATGGATATAAAATTGTTGATCTCTTAGGCCTGGGGCCCAAAGTGCTGACAGAGATCTACCTAGCTGGGGCAGCACAGATGTAGGAAATGCCTTTCCTTTAAATACAGTCAAGCAACTTTCAGGGTAATTGACATGCCTGTTTCACACACTGCCGTCTTTATTCTTCCTAGTGTCTGAGCACTTCCTCTCTTCCTATGATATTGACTGCAGTTTGGAAACCAAGAAGGAGGTGGTTCAGTGCATGGGCTCCTTTCAGGATGGGGTGGCCGAGAAATGTGCTGATTATTTCCAGAGATTCAGGCGCTCTACGCATGTGACTCCCAAATCGTACCTCTCCTTTATCCAGGGATATAAACTCATATATGGAGAAAAACACATGGAAGTGCAGACCTTGGCCAATAGGTGAGTTTGAAGGTCAAATAAAAGGTCATCTTAAAGTACTGGTGCTCAACCTAGGGCAAAATTGTCCGTTGGGCACATTTTGTAATGTCCAGAGACATTGTTATCTGTCACAAATGGGATGCTAAGGTTAAGGGTAGCTATGGGGTTGGTATTATTAGCTCTTAAATAGTAGAAGCCAGGGAGGCTGCTGAACAACTTTGGTCCAAGGGAACGACCCCAGAGTAAAGGATTATCCAGCCTGAGTTTCATTAGTGCTGCGGATTCGACCCCCACCCCCCTCCAGCCCAAGATTATCTTGGGCATCCAGGGGTTTTATTGTTGCCCAATAAGATAAACTTTCCAGGTGTTATATGGGCTGTCACCTTTTATGATATTGAGTGACATAGTGATAACAGATGTGGAAGGGAGTTGAAAACATAGATGCCTCTTCTGGCCCCTCTTCTCCCTCTCATCCCAACTCTCTGGGTGACCAAGGTAGAAGAGTCTGGCTGGTGCTTATATTCACTGCAGAGTGAATGTCATATGCCACTGAGTGTGTCCCAAATATCACTGCTGTGCCCCATATTCTTCTAAACATTCACATTTTTTGCTAGAATCAACCAGGATTGCCATGTAAGGGTTCCCTGTGTGGGAGACTGGACTTCATATAAGGCATCCAAGACCTCTCAGCTTTTAGAAAATGTTATTTCAAGTCTATACAGGTACCTGGCTCATTCCTGGAACTGTTCTGATTTAATTTTTTTCTTAAGCCTAAATATTTCTTCTTTTAATTTCATTGGACTGCTTTGAAAAAAAAAAAAAGACAGAAGTTATTTATTTTCCTTCCTCCATGATAGAGCTTCAAGTGTTTGAAGTTTACTGTTATTAGGCTCAATACTATTAACCACGTGTCCTGGATGGAGCAGATTCTAGATCCATGCTGTTCCTCATGCCACTGGCATGATTTACTGGACTCACTCTTCCCACACCTGCTCTGTGCACGTGTCAATGTGGAACCAAACCTAGACGTAGACCCTTTAGGGAAGCCCTCTTGGGTTTGATTTTATTACACTTTAATACCTCAGATATGACCTCACTACTCTTACTGGTAAAATGGTACTTGGAAACACAGGGACTTGTCACTAAAGTGAACAGTGCATGCATGAATCTTTTTTTAACTCCAGGATGAATACTGGACTGGAAAAGCTGAAAGAAGCTTCAGAATCTGTTGCAGCGCTGAGTAAGGAACTGGAAGTCAAAGAAAAGGACCTACAAGTGGCCAACGAGAAAGCAGACATGGTGGGTGGACATGTATACATGGGTGTTATTCCTGCGGAGAAGTCAGTTCACAGATGCTAATGGTGCATAGTCACAGCCTGAAAACCATGGAATTAGAGGATAGGTATTTCTATTAGGATAAAAACTTTGTTGTCACGTACGAAAAATTGGATAAGTGGACAAATCAACACATCAAGGCAAAAAAGAAGTGCTTCCCTGCCCAATTTGATGGGGGTATTTTTTGTTTTCTATTGAATCAGGTCTTAAAAGAAGTCACGGTGAAAGCACAGGCTGCTGCAAAGGTCAAGGCTGAGGTCCAAAGGGTGAAGGACAAAGCCCAGGCCATTGTAGATGGCATTTCTAGGGACAAAGCCATCGCCGAGCAGAGACTAGAAGCAGCACAACCAGCTTTGGAGGAAGCAGAAGCTGCGCTGCAGGTGCGTCCCTGTGAGGTGGAGGTGCTGTTTAGACAGACAGGAGGCATTGCGGCAAGAAATACAAGTGAAAACCAAAAGACACGCAGGAAACGATGCTGATCAGACCACAGCCCTGGCTACGGAATGACTGCCGGTCGGTCATAGTTTCTGCAGGGAAACTTTAGGTTTAAATATTAAAATATCTCTATCTCTATATCTATCTATCTATCTGTCTATCTATCTATCTATCCATCCATCTATCTACCTACCTATCATCTATCTATCTATCTATCTATCTATCTATCTATCTATCTATCTATCTATCTATCTATCTATCTGTCTATCTAATTAATCTATCATCTATCTTTCTTCTATTTATCTAATCTATCTATCTATCTATCTATCTATCTATCTATCTATCTATCTATCTATCTATGACGCGTGCAGCTCAACATCTCACCTCCCTTTTAATGAATAATGAGCTGTGTCACAGAATACTGGCCAAAAGACCTGGGTCATTATTTCACCTTCTTCATTAGTAGGCTGTGGAGCAGTGGGAAGGTTACAGGCATCTTCTAGAATAATGTTTTCTGACTCACTGAGGACTTTGAAGTCAGTGCTCTGTAGGACAAAACTTTCCCCGAGTCTGCGAATCATCAAAATGAAGACTACGAATTTAATGCAACTCATTAATGACAGAGGCAGACCAGTTTCCAGTATAGTCAATGTGACTGTGTGGTGATAACAGAAATGGCAAAATGATAAAGGAGGTTGTATTTTGAGAAATATAGTGTGTTTAGTGAGCTAGGCCATGGCTACTTAAAGGCTGGGCAGTGTTGAAAAGTCAATTTCAGATTTTTTTTAAAGATTGCTTTTAGTTCATTCTTAGTCATCTATTCCCTTATGGTATTGATTTTTGGCTTATAAATGAATGGGAAAAGTGGAATTCAGTTGCGTGCCTACTGCTAACTCATTATTTGACCTCAGTGGAGCATGGATCATTGCTTGTTAATGTGATAATGCTTTCTTACTACTGTCTTAGTTCACTGCCTGAAACACTTCCAAGTCTTTTTGATTTAATGTCTTTTTGATGCAAAGTTTTTACACTGTTTTAGTACATATATAATTTATGCATTTCTGAGCTAAGGCTTTAGCTCAGTGGTAGTATGTGCTTGGCATGTACAAGGTTTAGTCCCCAGTACTACAAACAATAACAAAAGTATACATATTTCTTATCCATTGCTATCATGAAGATACTGCCTTCTCTTTTCTCTTTAACTTTCTACTCTTCTTAAACATGTTTTCGAATTGTTTCTCTATTTTCCTGTGCACTGGGGAGACTATTGTCTTTAATCCTTGAAGCCCTCCTGGGCTGTTAGCCTGTTTTTTGTGGACACAGCAACATTCCTCCCTCCCACATTTCTATCACTTTGACTATACCAAGAGAAGGTCTTTAAACAACACAGAGAAGATAAGGGTAGTGTAAATAGGCTTTTAAGACCTTGTTGAATTCAGGATATTTAAAATGTTAGAATCATGTCTTGCTTTTTAAAAGACCACTATTTCCCTTAAATTGAAAAGAACTGACATCTCTTTTTGATATTGTGAAATGTTTCTAATGTCCCTCTAGATTACTATTCTCAACAACTAGAATATTCTGCATCATATACTCAATAGTGTAGAAATATGTGGGAGCAGAAAAAAGGTGATGTTACTTTCTGTTACTATAACAGAATACCTTAGGTAGTCCATGTATAAAGCTACCAGGCTTATTTTGACTTACAGTTTTGGTGCTTTGAGCCCGTTGCCAAGCAGCACAACACGGCTGGAACACGTGCTGCAAAGCTGCTCACCTCACGACCGGAAGCAATAAAAGAAGGAAGAGGCTAAAGTCCCAGTATCCCCTTCGAGGGCAAACTTCCAAGGCAGTGGGGTCTCCCCTGTGTCCTACCTCCACAAGGTTCCCTTACTTCCCACAACACCACCCTGTGGACCAGTCCTGCAGTTTTCAAATCTGTGGCGGGCACTGAGCATCCACAGGCGTGCACGTGGGCGAGGTCTTTATAATTTCCCTCAATGGCCCTGCCAGCATCTTTCCAGGCCTTTGTGAGTTTCTGAAACCTTGAAATGTGGTACTGCCAGTTTGTTAAGAAAGTTCCAGATATATCAGACTCTAACATCCTGGCATCGGTTATAACAATCTTAAAAAAAACAAAAACAGAAACAAAACAAAGGTAACAGCTTTTTAAGAATATGTCCTTTCAGGACTGGAGAGGTAACTCAGCAGATAATAGCACTGGCTGTTCTTGCAGAGGACCCAGCTTCACTTCCCAGCACCAACATGGTGGATAACAACTGTCTGTAACTCCAGTCCCAGGGGATCAGATGTCTACTTATGACCTCTGTGGGCAGTGCACATAAGGGTGCACTTAGATACATGCAGACAAAATACTCATACACACAAAATAAATAAGATGAAAAAGAATGTGTTACTTCTAATGCTTAGTCTGACTTTAGTTGGAAGCAAAAATGAAAAAAGTATGTCTAGATGGTAAATAATGTTATTTTGCCGTGGTGTAGAGGATATTTCACAGTAGTCATATTATGTTGACCACGGAAAAAGAATTCAATAGTTAGCTGAAACAGGCTGATCTTCAGGCACCTCCACCCCCACCAACTCTTTACCTGAGTGCTTAACATAGCACACAGCTATCTGAAAAGTATTCCTTTGAAAAGCTAAGGAAAATAAGCATGCTCAGTTGGTGATTTTGCATAATTGTTAACTAGTTTCCTACTGGCTGTTGTTTAATTTCCCCCCTTTCTTCTGTAGCCACTCATTTTAAATAAAGCTTTGATATTTTCAGTTCTTTACCCTCAATTTCTCTGTGTTTTCCATCTGCTTAGCTTTGACAAATACAAGTTTATTGAAAGATACCTCTTCACAGCAAATCACAAGTTTAGTATGTATGAGTTCTCCATTTTAGAGAAAGTTCATTGCCTTTTATGAGATGGCCATTGGTTACTTCTTTTGACAGGAGGGATGCAGATGCAAGTGGGACAGGGTGTAAAGACATGGATCAGTGATGTGCACTGTTTGTCCTAGAAACAGAGCTGTGCTAGATTTCTATATTTCATATTTCACATATTTCCAATACTTATTTCATAAAAGTTTAACAGAGAACATGCTACCAACCAAATTAGTCTGATTATTAAATAATTTACTGCATGAGAATATTTGCAACAGAAATAGAACAGAACTTTTCTGAGACTCATGTGAAATTCGTATTGCCCAAGTTCTTTCATTTAAAGGTCAGTTCCCAGCTAAGAAACCTCTAATTATTCAATCTGTCAGCCCCGAGGCTGCCCTCTGGTGTCAGTCCACTGTGACAAGTCTGTTGCTTAAGAGAGAGGCAGATTCTTGACCTACATAGCTAATGAGTAAAAAAGCACCAAGAATACAGTATTTTTCCTAGTTTCAAACCATGATAATGACTTAAGTGCTGAGTATATTTTTTTTAGCATGCACTTTTTTTCTGACACGAAGCACTCTATACACTTTTAGGGAAGTCACAGCTCCTTAACTGCTCACCAACATTTCTCTCCCCTTGCTATTAATTAGAGTAAAAAACTAGGCCTACGCGTGTGCGCGCGTGCGCACACACACACACACACACACACACACACACACACACACAAAAAATCCCACATAAATACAGGCATAAAAATTAGAAGTGAGGATCTGCATGTGAGAGAGAACGTGATGTTTGTCTCTCTGATCCTGGGTAACCTCACTAAATATATTTTCCAGTTCTATGCATTTTTTAAAAAGAGGCTTAAAGGGAGGAAGGTGTGGGAGAGTAATAGATTACAAGATGGAATGGGGACTACTGGGGGTAGAATGGTTTAAGGTGGAGACAGGGAGATGGGGGAGAGGAGAGAGCTGGGGTTGCAGAGGATCACCCAATCTGAGTATATATGAAAATTTCATTAAGAAGCCTGCAGCTAGGGGCTGGAGAGACAGCTCAGCAGTTAAGAACACATACTACTCTTGTAGAACTCAAGTTCAGTTCCCAGCACCCACATCATGTGGCTCATAACTGCCTATAACTCCAACTCCAGGGGGATCCAATGCCTCTGACCCCTGCTGGCAACTGCACTCACATGTACACACTCACACAGAACCTACACGTGAAGAATAAAAAATCCTAAAAAAAGGAACTTTCAACTTTGTAAGCTAACTAAAATAAAGAAAATTACAGAAATGTAAAATGTTTGGACTTCTTAGGACATGCACTTCTTTGAGCTTGAATGTGTGCCTCTACCTTACGGCTCTTCATCTAACTTAAAAGTGTTGTCTGCCCTCTCTTGAAGCAGCAGCATTTAGACATGGAAGTTTTTGTCCACACTGTCTTATCTGAGCTTTGGTGATCCCTGTTTCCATTCCCCAGACCATCAAGCCCACAGACATTGCCACAGTGCGCACACTGGGACGACCCCCTCACCTTATCATGCGGATCATGGACTGTGTGCTGCTGCTGTTTCAGAGGAAGGTCAACGCGGTGAAAATTGACCTGGACAAAAGCTGCACTGTGCCTTCCTGGCAGGAATCTTTAAAACTGATGACAGCAGGGAACTTTCTGCAGAACTTACAGGTAGTTCAGTAATGAGGGTCCATGTGGGAGTCTAGTTTGACTGTCATGGCTGAATTCTCTAGTGGAATATATTTCTAAAAATAATTTATTTTGCGTATGTATTATTGAAATGCATATGAATATTTTTCAGAGTAGAATATTCTCTTTCAAAAGTAAGACACGATTATTAGATCTTTTCCTGAGTCTTTAGGCTTTTTAAAGGTTGATCAGTGAACATACATACTTCAATAAAACTTGACAACATCATTTACAGAGACTAACTATATGTGTACGTTACCTGCATCTGAATACAAATGCACTCATCCTTAGTGTTTGCAGGACTCCCTGTGGATACAAAAATGTGAGCATGCTCAGGTTCCTTACGTAAGATGACATGGTCTTTGTATGTAACCTTGCATGTCCTGTGTACCTCAGATACCCTCTAAAATATTTATGGTCCTCATACAATGTAAATGCTGTATATGTAGTTGTTATACTTTGCTTTCTTAGAAGATCTCACTATATATCTTAAGATAACCTTGAACTTAGACTCTGGTACTAGGATTACAAGCATGCACCACCAAGCCCAGCTGGTTGCACTGCGGTGTTTAGGGGACAATGACTAGAAAGAAGCCTGCACATGTTCATTATGAATGTTACATTTTTTAGTTTTGCCTTTGGAGTCAGAACCTCTAGTAGGGTACCTACTGTCTGTGCCTACATTTCTAGTTTGATACTCTCAATAGTATTTTTTAAGTATTAATTTTCATATTTTAAATTTTGTTGGGGATAGAAACTACATGTAATGTATATTCTTTAGTGGTATCTGAAAGCAAAATGTTTATTTCCAAATTCTCTCTTATGCTTAAACCTAGTTATTACCTCCCTTAAAATATCTATTATTCTTTTATTCTGATCATTATCTTTGCCTGTTTTGAAATTTACTTATATGAAATCATATGGTCTGAAGCCTTGCTCTGGCCTCTTTAATTCACCATATACACCAGATTTATTTTTACTTTTGCAAAAGGCAGCAGTTTATTCTTTTTCACTTATAGCATTCCAGTATAAGACCATGCCCTGGAACCGGACATGGTGATGCTCAAATTTAAACCCAGAACTCAGAAGGCAAAGACAAGCAGACTTCTGTGAGATCCAGGCCAGTCTGGTCTATATAGTGAGTCCTAGAGTTCCAGCTGGGGCTACAGGAAGACTCCCCCGCCCCCCCCAACATGCACACACACACACACACACACACACACACACACACACACACGGACTTGCAGGATGTACAGTGCTGTGTGTGGTGGTGTTTAATGATTAGTGTTTTTTGATGAAGAAAATAAGAACAAAGAAGAAAACAAAGGCTTTGATGTACAGTGTTTGCCACGGTGGGGCTAACCCCAGGATGGCCAGTTTTAAGCTCCCAACAGATCTAAGCAGGAAAAGGAGCAGAGCTGCATGCCATCTCCTAACATTTACACCAAATGACCCCGAAAGCATGGATGATAGTAATCTGAGTAAAGTGACGATAAACTGTGAGTTTTTTCAAATGGTCATTTAATCCTGTGTGTAATATGCTTTTAATGTTTAGCAACCAGTTTTCAGAACTTCTGAAATTTTAACAATAATTGCTCATGAGCTTGTTTGAATCAGCACCCAGGTGAAACCCATGATACATTCAATTTGTCCATTCGACTGTTTAAAGAGCTTTTGGGTTGTTACTAAGTTTTGGCTATAATAAGTAAACCTGGTATCAGTATTGATACAGGCCACTGGGGGCGGGGCGGTGCATGTATGCATTTCTGTTGACTGTATATGCAAAGATAGAATTTCTGGATCATAGGTTATGCACATATAATCAGCTTTCGTTGGTTGTATTGGAGGCTTTTAAGATGTCCTGTTATTTTACGCACTCACCAACATTGCACAAGTTGCTCCACATTCTCACTGTTTTCAGCTTTTTCACTATTGTTTGTAGTCGTTTCTCTTTATTGTGAGCCTAATTTGCATTTCCCTGATGACTAATGATGCTGTAAACCTTTTTGTAGGTTTATAAACCTTTTAGGATTTTTTTGTTAAGTGTTTGTTTATGTCTCTTATCCATTAATTTTTAAAATTGTTTATGAATGCTGTAAGTATCTTTAGCTACTTCCTGGCTTAGTTGTTGATGCCATTAATACTTCTTTTGCTAAGCAGAAGTTCTTAATTTTAATGTAGGCTAATTTATCCGTATCCTCCTTCATTACACTTTCTGTGTTCTGTTTAGACCTTGGATTCCTTCTACGGAATAATAAATTGTCTTATGTTTTCTTCTTTAAGTTTTGCTGTCTTACCTTCCAATTGTAGATCTTGAGACAATTAATTGGGAATACCCAATCTATGTCCATGTTCCAAGCTACAACGTTAGCATTGTCTTTCAGTTTTGAACTCAGCATTGCCCTTGTGGCTGCTGGGCATCTTGTGAGATGCCTTCTAACTGTTACAAAAGTAAGGAGCTTATGAAAGTAATGGGCCATGGGCAATGGGACTTTGTGTAGAACCTTGGTGAGTGACTCCAGGTTCCTGCTTTTTCAACATGGTGGCAGATGTTGCTTGTGGCTCTCTTGCTATCTGTCTTCATGTCACCACTACCTAGAAATTCCTTCATCTTTAGTATTTGCTAAGTATCATAAAAGAAACGTGTGTTAAGCAAGGTCTGAATGAAAGTGTATTCTATTGGATGGGATAAACGTTCTGTGAAGGCTACTCCATTAAATTATTAGGTGCTAAATTTATTTCTACTTGGAAAATAACCATCCCTTTTAGAAGAAAACATTATTATTTCGGTCTTTTTGAGACAGGGTCTCCCTATAGCCCCAGCTGTCCTGGAACCACTAAGTAGACCAGGCTGGCCTTGAACTCACAGAGATTCCCCTGCCCCTGCCTCCCGAATGCCACCATGCCTGGCTGAAACATTATTTTTTAAAGGTCCAATTTCACTGTTTGTCCAGTCTTTTCTTTCTTATGCAGGAAGGCCTTCTAAATCCATTTCTGCTGTATTTTAAAAGTACATTCCTCTTGAAGATAATATTTCTCTCATATTTGTGATAGCTGTATGATTAAAGATCAATTCATCATTTTAGAGGTGTAATGTCTAGGCTAGTATCCTCACAGTTCATGTGTGAGTTTAATAGAACTTCTGTCTGAACCTATTTGGCTTTTGTTACTGATAAATGTTAAATCTGTATGTCCTTAGCCTGAATATGGCTGTGTATTTTGTTTTTCATTGTTGATATTGTGGGTTTGTAATTCACATATTTGGGGTTAATGACAAGAAATTTTTGCTGCTTTTGAAATTATAATGACTGTATTGGTGTTTACTTCCTAAATAATTTACTCTTTCCCTGAATACTAATGTATTTAATTAGAGCTGCTATCTTTGGACTTCAGGAGTCTGAGTGCGTGTTAACAGACTGCTTTTGCACTCACTTCTTACTGTGTTCTCCACTGTAAGATTTTTACCTAATATCCTGAGATATTGACAAAAATACTACATCACTCATGCATTTTTGGCTGTTTAATAGTTTTAGTTACACTGAGAACAGATTATGAGTCTAAAAACACTTCATAAAACAAGTATTTTGTTGTAATTTTACTTTTTTTCCACAGCAATTTCCCAAAGACACGATCAATGAAGAAGTGATAGAACTTTTGAACCCTTACTTTGAAATGGCAGACTACAACATCGAGACAGCTAAACGTGTATGTGGGAATGTAGCCGGTCTTTGTTCCTGGACAAAAGCTATGGCTTCATTCTTTTCTATAAACAAGGAGGTTCTGCCTCTAAAGGTAGGTGTCCTGGAGAGAACTTGTGACCCTTGCCTGGGATGGTCTCTAGGTCAACTGATCTTTTCTTTGCACAGTAGCTCAGGAGCCTTTGGCATTCAGTGTTTTGGTCCTCAAATCTATAGTGAAAGGAAGATACTGAAAGACAGAGTCCAGGATGTTTCTTTCTTCTTTATAATCCTACCCCAATCATAAGCTTTTAAGTATGAACTGACTCTCCATAAAGACATAGAGTCTATTGTGAGTTGCTTAAGAAAACAGAAAGTTATAGTGCAGAACTCTCCAATAATGTTTGAGATCTTAAGATAAGAAATTCTGTAAGAAAAGGTCAAGACATAGAGAATGGCAATGATTACAGCAGGGTTTGGATTCAGGTACGTGTGGGCTTCCCTCCTCTCTCCTTTATGCCTTACACGACACTACTGCCTGCTTGTCACTTAATGTGATTTTGAGACTATGCCTACATTTTCCTCTGGGTAGTTGAGCTTACAAAACTCATTTTTATATTCACCACTATTTTAAAAAATATTTTTATTTATTGTTTTTATTTTATGTGTATGTGTGTATTGCCTGCATGTAAGTGAGTGCACCTGTGTCGTGCAATGCCCATGGAGGACAGAAGAGGCTGTCGGATCTCCTGGAGCTGGAGTTATAGATAGTTGTTAGTTGCCATGTGGGTGCTGTGATTCAAACCCAGGTCTTCTGCAAGAACAGTGTTCTTAACTGCCGAGCCATCTCTCCAGCCTCTCTCCTCCACTATTAAAAAGACATCTAGTCTTTAACAACTGGAGAGGCATGTACATCTTAAAGAATGAGCCCCAATACTCAATGTTTCAAAAATCATAACTTGTGCATTGGTGGATTTTTGTTTTTATAAGTTTGCTCTTTTCCAACCACCAACCAAAATTTGCTTACACTTGCAAGCTACCTAAGAAACTTAATAATTTATATTAAAAATAATGAAGAATGGCAGAAGGAAGGTACAGAATTGTGGATTGCATTATGTCTCAGGATCCTACAACAATTTAACAGAGGAAGGACTCATTCAACTCAAGACTTTTAGAGAAAATAATTGCTATGACACTGTTGGACATTGTAGAGATCAGGAGACTGTAGATTCCAGCAAAACTCAAAGGTGGACACCAGTATTGACTGAATTATAACTACCATGTCAAATGGGAAGCACAGAACATTCTTTATGTTTTCCTAGCAGACACAGTGTCTTAAAGGTGATTAATTTTGAATCTATAATGTATAATTTTTTGCATTATGATGTAATTTTTTGGTTTTTAACGGAACTCTGACATTTTTGTAGTTAATTCAAGAATAGTGAACTGAACACATTTAGCATGGACCTTTAGAACAGGCTTACAGTATAACAATGAAATGTCTTTGTCTAAGTTCACGTTCCAGCCTCCACTCCTGATAATCTAGACCACATGGTAGGGAGTGAAGGGAACACCATTAGAAGGAGAAGCTTTGGCTTGCTCCTGGTTTCTGTGCATTTCCTGAGCCATTATCCAGGAAGTGCCTTCCTCTGCCTTATAAGTTTCTGAGTCCTCATGACCCTCCTATGTTAATGAGACTAATAAGTATTTTACAAGTTATTTTGTTTAATTCTTTCATTACTTTTTTCTTTATTTTTAAGAATTTTATACATATATACCATGAAATATGAATATATCTACCTCCACTTCCTCCGCCAACTCCTTTCATATCCCCCATCATGCCCTCCTCCCAAATTTATGTCTTTAAAAATATTTTTGATAACCTACTGTATTAGTCAGGGTTCTCTAAAGAAACAGAACCAGTAGAATGAATATATATGTGTAGGGATTTATCAGATTAGCTCACAGGATAGAGTCCGAGTAGTCCAACAATGGCTGCACCACACTGGAGAGGCTGAGAATCCGTAGTTGCTCAGTCCACAAGGCTGGATGTCTCAGTAGT